TAAATATTGGCAAGGACTAGCAACCGAAACAACCTTATAGATACAAATGCCCAAGTTTCTGTCGTACCTCTCGATAACAGTAAGTCACAAGCCACGATGCTTCGACTACGCGCTGCGAATGGCTCAGCCGTTCTTACCTATGATACACGACAACTTACAGTCAACCTGGGCAACTGTCGACAGTATCTGTGGACGTTCAACACTGCCGATTTTCCCACAGCCATACTCGGTATTGATTTCCTACAGCACTATGAATTGCTAGTCGATTCACGTAGGCTGCAGCTGATTGATACTTCGTCGAACAGCCAGTTCATGGGCTTCAAAGCTCAAACGAACGCGTACCGAATCTTAGGCGTCTTTCATTCGCGTGACGATATATTCCACGCTCTATTCGAGAAATTCCCCACATTAACTAAACCACTGGAGGAGATTTCATCGGTGACCAATCGTGTGGTACAACAAATAGTCACCCTTGGACCTCAGTCACGGCAAGACCACATCGACTGGCACCGGACAAGTTAGCTTTCGCTAAACGTGAGCTTAACAGTCCCTCGGCCTCACCTCTTCATATGGTGCGCAAAATGTATGGGGTTAGTTGGAGACCATGCGGCGTCTGCCGGGTATCAAACGTAGTTACACGCTTTGATAGCTATCCCATCCCCCACATATACGACATCACGGTATCGCTCAAGGGCACGACTATCTTTTCTAAGATCGATCTGGTACGAGCACATCATCAGATTTCAGTCGCTCTTGAAGATATCGAGCAAACCGCTATCACGACTCCTTTTGGCCTGTTTGAGTTCATCTGAATGCCATTTGGATTACGGAATGCTGCTCAAACTTTACAAACGTGGCAATCTCTCGAATTTTTCTCACGACGCCTTGCTCTCATGGAGATGAGATATAGGGCTTTTGTCCGAGAACTACTAGCAGCCTACGAATATTTTTGTATGTTTTAGATTTAAATCGATATAATGGAGGCAATGCACGTCATACGGTTTTTAGTAATAAATCAGCAAGTGAAATTGTATTGTTGCTTAACTAATGTGATTTGTAGTTACAGTTTCGACATTTCACTACTCTTTAGTCTTACCTGCTCTAATATGGTGCCAAAGTCATCCTGTTACTACAATATCCCTAGAGAATAAATGAAATCTTTCTAGTTAAGCATTTATACGAACGAACGAAGATTAGATGGCGACAAGTATGGTGCGGCTTCGCTGCCTCAACCACCGACCCTACGATATTCCTTCATCAATCACCGACGTTGATCTGTTGTGATAAACCCTCGAAAGTTTATTTCCACAGATAATTTGGCTTCAGTTCAACCCTTCTTCTCTGAATGGATACCCTTCAAAATATCCTCATCTCATAAAACTGAAGTTAGTGAAACTTCGGCGGTCTACACTAAATGGTATTTGTTCGACAACATTTCTGACTCTGGGTCCTCTTACTACGTTCCTCAATAAACTAATTCTCTCTTTCTTCCTTAATTCAAACAGAAAACTTAATAATAAAACCCCACAACTATGTAATATACAAAATGAATATCTGACTTTGAATTTGCTTTTAAGTAGATACAAACATAAACACAGTGAATAATAAGAGAGCTGTAGACTGACATATATGTTCCAGATTTTCATTTTCAACAATTATCTTCCATACAGCATTTTAGTTTGAGTCCTCGTTTATTTTTCACTTGTTTTGGAGTTTTTCTCATCGTTAAAATATGTATTCAATATCAATATTCGTCCCTCCATCCAGTACCGTTAGATGAATAGTAAATCAGTAGTGTTAAATAATTTGAGTACTGCAGAGATATTTCGAACTAATACATCTACGAGACACGTATTATGATCACTACCAGATAATTGTGCTTCGGTAAGCTCAGAGCAAAACTTTCTTCTATATCAGCATGTATGATAGGAGGGAAATAATTTAATTCAGCTGATGTCTTTAGTATCCAGAACTACTTAACAAACTTTACAAAATAACCCGAAATGATTCTGCATCTTTATTATGATTTAAATAAAGCCATATAATGAGTAAAAACGATTCTCTCCTCATATAAAACCTACTTCATTGAAGAAAGTTAAAATTAAACACACTCGTCGTAGAAAGTTATTTAACAAATAAGAGAGACATTATAACAATTGTACATCTATTTAGCGAGATAACAAACTGATATTTGTCAAATTATTAATGGTTTTGAAATATCCTTATTTCATGTACTCTTCGTTATCTATATTGTCTACTGAGGAGTGTGCATTTGTTCATTTTTCGGTAGATTGATTAATGACTGACTCCCATCCGAGTTTAAGTATAAAGCTGTTCCTTTTGCATGGTCGTCTCTGACAATTGATTTTTTATTTTACACTCATCAACGGGGAGTGGAATAACAATACTAATTTCGCTTAGTACTTCGAAATAATACTGAATAGTAAGTGAATGAAGTCAGATCAAGGTTGGGTTTTGGACGAATTGCTGGAACCAGGTTAACCGTTTGTCCTCTAATTGACTTGGTAAAGCTCATGATTACACGGAGACATCATAGAACATCAGGGAATCAGGAACTATAAAGCTAACATAAAAAGGGATAGATTCTAAAAAGCAAAAACAGGATGAGATAAATGGGTGTGAACTGCAGGAACAACTCTTATTATAATATATTACGAACAATATATAATAATAAAGAGACCTGGTTATCGTTATTCTGATGACACTGTGCTATTACCTAAATTGAAGTTTTTTATACTTAATTTTATATATAGTTCAAAAGTGTGCTCCTTGCTTTACTGAACAGCTCGAAACATGCACTACCATTCTATTCTTCATGAAAAATATCCTCAAATATTGCAAGGTATTTATTGTTAATTTTCAGACATCTGCTTTACTGTATGCTATACATTCCTCTGTGTAAATGATAGAGAATTTTGATTTCTATAAAACCATCAAGCAACATTTTCGAAGTAATAGTAAATTGATGTAATTGGAATATTCTGGGAACTAAAAAATTAAACTTCTGGCACTTTATAATCTTATTCAAATCTCTTCCTCAAAGAATAAATAACCAATTTAAAATTAGCATATGTTAAATTAGTATAGAAGAATAAATAAGTAAATATTCAACGTAATAAAAACAGATCTGATCATCCTATCATTGTTATTCACATCAAAAATCAAGCATACATGTATATGTTCGTTTATATCTATATGGTTATGTAGAATATGAGACTAGTAATGCAATGAGATAGAGATGATTTTATAGTATATTACTGGTATTGAGTTTATACAGATCACAGTTCGTTTCTTTTTTTTGGAAGAGTATTCCAAGTTGGATGAATAGTTGGGCTTCATGATTATCGGGATATTGCGGATAAAATGATTGAAAGATAATTCAGTAAACAAAACCTTTTTGACAATATCATTTACTCAAGCTATACAACCTCATTTATAATTAATTTACAAATAAATTTTCTAGCGAAAAATAGAAGGACGATAATACCGTATTATGTATCAAAGAAAATTTCTTAATAATCGGAAATTTAGAGATAATAAGCTCAAATCAAATGTGTAAAAGTTAATAGTCCACTTGAATTGATAATAACGAATAACTGAAATTAAAGAGATTTAAAGTATTAAAAATGTGTCATACTAACTAAATTACAGTTTATGAAAATTAGATATTATAGCCATGGAAGAACAATAGGTTGCATGTGTCTCTTTTGAACACAATACTCAGGTTTGAATAAATTAATTGCTAACGCTTGTACAGTACATATTTCAGTAATTCACACTCCTGTCGAATCAGATCGTTTGACAATATAAATTACTTTAATGTGCTTATCAGTTGGGGCTGTGTGACCAAATATGTATCTATTAGGTGATACTTAATGTTTCTACAAAGTAAATTTAATGGATAACAGGTGCCATATATTTCGAGTACAATAATCTTAATTCTAATAGTGGTAGGTAAGTGACTTTTCTTGAAAGAAACACTGTTATCTGAATTAATATATAAAAGTGAATAAAAGCTTGACAAACAAAGAAGACAAGTCAATAAATCAATATCAACCAAACTTTTTCAGCTTCCCTGATGTTCAATGGGCATAACATCCATAACGATTGGTAGAATTATTCCGAAAATAAAATTTAAATAAAATGTCCTATTTTAATTTAAATTGACTAAAAGTGTTTATGCATGTCGCGTACATTATTGATTTCATCATATATATATGAATGTGTTTATTCTTCAATAACACCATATTCTGTATCCAATTTCCCAAGGACAGAGATACAAAAATTGTGCAGTAAATTACACTATCCAAATTTATTGATTCATTTAATTTAGTGAAATGTGTATTCAACTACCAATAAGAATTTGTAAATGATTCCCAATCAGAAATAGATTGAATAATACATTATTTTTCATTGATATTGAAGTAAAACAAAATGTACTTTTTTACTAAAACAAAATTTTTCCACTTTTATTAACACAATATGATTCGAAAACTTTTCATTAAACTATAAATGAATTCAATGAAAATTTCATAATTTACTTTGTAACCTGTTTTTTATTTATCTGATAAGAAAAAACATAATAATAAATTTCGTCCTTATTTCATTCTTCATCAATTGATAACAATTTCGTTTATTCGAAGGTGATTCATCGGTAATTCAATTTTTTTAATCAAAAAAATTCTTTCTTCTTGGTGAAGATTGTTTTCTTATGAAAGATAAAGTGTAAACATCTAAAAGAAGAAAAGATTTTTTCTTAAAAATTAAAATTTTTCTTGTTCAACATCTTGAGAAAAAGAAACTTTCTTTTAATCAACATTCATGTCACAATGACTTGGTTTTTTGTTTTTTTCTTTTGAAATAAAACTTTCGAACAGTTAGATTTAATAAACAGTGACAAGATACCGTTTTTTTGTCCTTTGAACAAAATTCACTGGAAAGTTTATGATTTAAGTTGATTGAAAATTCAAAAAACAAATATGCCAGGAGATAATCAACAACAAAGTGCCTACAAATATCGAAATACCCGTTATGGAAGTAAGTTTTAACTGAGTAATATATATATATATATATATATATATATATATATATATATATATGGAATAATTGATAGTAGAATTAGAATTTTGTTTATATTGTTGCTAATTATATAAATGAACAATATTGTGTTCGATTAGATCTTCATCAGGTTTTACTCTAATATACAGTAGTATTTATATGCATATACGAATCATTGACCTATTTTCGATTGTGTAACATTGATTTAAGCCTTTATTCTTGTTATCACAACTAATACACTTGTCATCACATTATCAATTTGTACTTTTTACTGATTATGTAATCATTTCCATTGTTATTATTGACTCAGAAAAACTACCTTGGTTGGTTTAATAATTTCTTATATCCATATAAATATTACTGTATATTATAATAAAGTCGGATGAGCATCTAATAGAAAACAATATTGTTCACTTATATTTGTAATGTTCTACATTAATTATTTTGATAAGTATTGTTTTATGTTGTAAACAGTCTCCTATTACTTAAATGGCAAACAATCATTTTGAGAAAATTTATTCATTTCATTCGTTAAATAATCATTCTAAGTAGTAAGTATAGATTTTACTTAGTGTGTTAAATCAATCAAAAAATTACCATGACATTTCACAATAAATTATTCTCGTAACAGTTCATGAACCATTTGACGGTAAGTCTTTTAATTAGAAAAAAAAACTAGTTCACTAAAGCGATTGAAATATATGACAAACAATAAGGATTTATTCACAGCTATCTAACTCCTTGAAAAAAGCCAACGAAGATTCTGAAAACTCTGAGAAACATCTTATCCAATCAGCATCCAATAAAAGTTTTGCCAGAAACATCTAGAAAGTGAAAAGTCACATGGCGAGTTTCTGATTGGATGATTACCTATACGGTTACTATGTTTAGTAGCGTTCCAGAATTTTCCGGAAACCCAATGCCATCTACAATACTATAAATGCCCTAGATTTTCTGTGCACAAACGAACCTTTGGAATAAAGCGTATCTTCCATGTTTCGCGCCTTTCCTCTTCTGTTCAGGTTGTTGTGTAGATTAAGTCTGGGAGTTAACAGAAGAGCTTAGGAACCAAATCTAGCTTTCAATTAGAAAACTTATTATATTTATATACTAAGGAAGAAACAATATAAAAAACTTCAAATTTAAAGACTAAATGCATTTTATTTTAACTAAGTGAAGTTCCCATTCTCATCTTATGCAACATTTAGCCTGTACAACTTCACAGAGTGAGTCAGATCAAATTAAGTACTTACTAATAAATGATAAGTAATATGTTTAATATAGATAGGTTTTTCAGAATAAATGTCTCCACACAAAATGATTGTATTAATTTAACTGAAAAATATTTAAATGTTTTATTTTATTTAATATAACAGTAATTAGTTTATAACTGGAATTACTTCTTCTAGCAGAAATACTGTCCATTGATTAATAACAAGACCTAATGAATAGTAGTAAATTGTTAATATTTCATTAATTTTTCTTAAAATGAAAAACAATCACCATGACTAGTAACTTAAATAATTATGTCGATAGGTCAGAAATTATCCCAACTTCAGGATGAATCCTATTGATCATTCTTCATCTAAAAACAACAGTTATATGTTAAATAGTTTATTGTTGAAAAATCTTGATAATTACCAATAAATTACCAACTGTTGCAACCAATATATGATTTATATTATTTTTATCGGAAATCGATAACGTTTTATCAATTAATGCCTACTTATTAACAACTGTCATAACTGTACATTACTAATTAATTCCTTGAATGATTATGTTCAACAATGTTAGATCTTAGATAATGTTGACATTTAATCATTCTGATACATAAAATATCGCTGAGACTATAATTTATGGACGACCTTTGAGCAACGCCAAAGAGACCTTGAAAGTGTCCACCTACTTACTAGGGATAAATGAGGGTTATAAAACATTTTGAAGAATAAGGATTAAGATTTACAGTTGATGGTTAGTATTAAGAATCAGATTTAGGGTTTTCATCACGAACTAACATCAGCTATAATTCCAAGACTCTTTAGCCCAATAGATGAACGAATTCCGCACCAAAATCTAAGACCTGTTATCGTAAATCTGATTAGTTCGTCCATAAATTATAGTCTTGCCAAATTATCTATAATTTGCTACTTAACCTTGAACAATACTGATTATGAATCTTAAATTACATTATAATAACTGTTAACTACTCATTAACTCTAAATGTTTGTTTTTCTAGCTGATATCATTAAACATTGAATACTAAACATATGTTGTTGGTGGTGTTTTGTTCTCTGAGCTGTAATATTATTTTCACCAAAAATTCCATAATTGGTTTATATTCCCCCTTACTTAATTTAAATGCTATGATTAAACATGGGAGATGGTATGGTATTTCATCTTCCTTTATCCTATAATAAAAAGTAAGATCTATCTGATAACTTCACTACATAAATGAAGAATTACCACCTTTTCAAATATAGATAGCTGGTTCTATTAACCAAGTACTATAATGAAACCTATACTGTAAATTAATAATTCAAAGATTATTAACATATGTCTTTCTTTGTCTAACCTTTAGCGGTAATACAATACTATAGTCTTGTGTAACCGTCTATTACAATAAATTCAGTTTTACTAAAAGTTACTTATGACAGTGTTTCTGTTGTGATTTTGAGTTTTGTACATTTAAATCTTTTTCAGAGCATCAGTTTCTCCAAAATTTCATATAAATCTACTGATGAGAAACAGTCGGGACGAATACTTTAGTTAATGCTTTCTTGTCACTTGCCTCAAACTGTTTAATGTCAAATTAACTTACTTAGGAGACTGAGCCTTGCGTCACTGATCATCCTCAATAAACTTGTACCATATCAATTCACTATCAGCTTACAAAAATATTATTTCAGTGAACAAAATAATGCTTTCCCAGGAAATATTAAAAATTTATCTTCTTTCATGTTGTTATTTAAAAGATAGAATAAAGCTTGACAGATCATTCATTCCCTGAAATTTATATATGGTAGATAAGTTATGAATATGAAAACAGATAGCAGTACACTTTGTTGAGAAGAAATCGCCTAATGATTCATTGCCATCCACTCTTTTGATGTCTATTTTCAATTCACTTCGTAATATGTTCTTTAGTTTGTTTGTTTTCCTTTTGACCTGAGAATTTTAAGTTAGGACTTACCTAGTAATGAGGTTTGATGATTCCCGCAATGCATTTCCTCTCCACGTCTAGCGTCTTTTCTTAATTACCTCTTCAGCCGGAGCTGGTTTGTTCTCTACCACAGGATATGTAGTATGCACAAAATTTTTAATAAAATAAAAAAAACATATTGCAGTAGAAATAAACCATTAAAATAACTGTATTTATTAAGTACTCTTAAGGGTATGCTTGAGATATCTTATCGATATTCCGAAACACCTTTCCTATTCCACTGTGATAGGAATTTTTACAAAGAACACAGAACTATGAGGGTGAGCACACATACATGTATACTGGGATAACATTTTCAAATGAAATGAAAACGAAACACGTTTAGGTTCTGGTACTATATATCTGGAAATCGATTAACAATACCCGGCTTGTTGGTCATTCACGTCTCAACCAATTAAGATCTGAATTTTGGGCCTAGTTTTAGGCATCTTATCAGATATCGATGAGATTATAATTAATAGATGACCTTTGAGCGACGCTAAAATGACTTTGAGAAAATCGGAATTAGGATCTAGAGTTAGAAATTATGGTTGGTAATTAGAGTTAGGATTTACATCACAAACTGGAATCAATTATAATCCCAAAATGCTATTTAGCCATATGGATGTATGAATTTTGCACCCAAGTTCAAGGGTTGCCATCATTAACTTCATTGGTTCGTTCATAAATATATAGTCTCGCTGAAAAACATCACCAGAATTGCTCTTAGTAGTAAAAACTATAATTAGCACTGTTGGCGTATTCGTGATGCAATGGTAAATAGTTTTTAAATATATAGGATTGGCTAAAAATCTTCCTGCCTAAAAATTTCCATAGACTTTTATGTAAGCCGTTGTAGATCAGTCCTAGAAAATGTTTCACAATCGAATAGGATGGATTCTACTCTTATCCAAGTATTAAAATTTGTTTATCTCTTCGTAACTATTTTAGTAGATGTTAAACCATTCTTAGATGTTTGTTATGCTGCTTGATGTCTGTCTTTTTATGTTCATCTACACGCACATGAAAATTGTTAAACACAACGAAGCACTCCTGAACTGTTTACTTGTTGTTTGTATTTGTGGTGATAAATGGATTTTGCTTGATCAGTTATGATGACCATTGTTGTATTATATGATCTATTGATCTCAGATTTAAGTGGGATTCATACGCTAGTAGAAAAACCATTTAAAATGAAGACAGTTCACAGTTTTAGCACCATAAAATAAGTCTGCATGATCTTATTATTTATGGGTAAGTTAAACAGCCTTGAATTCAAACAAAAGTATCAATGCCATCAGACGTTCCTCATTATTAAATGATACTGCTTTAAATTGAAAAAAAATTTCATAATGAGGATCTTTTCCATTGAAACTGTCGATATCAGCTATCACTGTTAATTTTACTAGTTCCTATCATCTGTTGTTCTTGAGAATATATTTTTTGTTCAGTGAATATTTTTGGTATCAGATCACAGGACAAGAATAATTTACTTGAAAAAAACGACTTAGAACTTTATCATTAATTTATAAGAAGACAGTCTGTGTTTAATTTAATAAATCTAGCCGAAGAATAATGATTATTGAAGGTCTTATTTACTAGGTTGATAGAATGTCACTTTCTACAGAAGAAACAATTGAATATACAGAGTTATATTTGATGAAATGTCCCAATGGCAGTTTTTAAAAAAGTTGTCTGTTTCTTCATTCTCATTAGTGGAAAATCGATTGAATAATACTGAATAATACAAAATGTTCTCTTAACATATTTGCCTTTTCAT